GCACAACCTTTCCGGAAGTCATCTTGACAACAGGTGTCAAAGTATGAACTGGTCCAAGCCTCCATCCAGCCTAAGCAGATGGTTGCAGGGGTGGACAAGGTACAGGTTATGATAATATCCACGCACTGCTGTTCGAGTTTGTGTTTCCCTAGCTTTGGGGTCGGAGCTGAATGCCAGGAGGGGTAGAGGAAGATTTATTACAGAATCATGTTTGGAGGTGTGTTCTAAACAATGACCATCTGAGGGCTCTAATCAGGGACTCTTCCAAGCCTGTTCTGGCCAAGCTGGGATTGGATGGCTTTGGGGCTACAGGGGTAACCAATGGGGCAGGCTTGGTGGGTGGGGCCAGATTGAGAAGGAAGTTCTCATGTGCCCCAACAAGGATTTCACACTTTCTTTTTTTAAGATATATTGTTGCTAAATAGTCAATATGTTGCATGATTACTACCTTACTGTTGTTGCTGTTGTTAGCTGCCATGGAGTTGGCCCCTAACTTATGGTGACCCTAGGCCCAATGGGATCGGACCGCTGGGATCCGGGACTGGTTGATGTTTGGAAGTAGATTGCCAGGCCTTTCTTCCTAGTCCACCTCAGTCTGGAAGCTCCTCTGAGACCTGTTCAGCATCATAAAACACAAAACCCTACTGCCATCAACTCAATTCTGACTCCTAGCAACCCCTATTGGGTTTCTGAAGTGGTAAATCTTTACAGAAGTAGATTGCCCCATCTTCCTTTTGTGGAGTGGTTGGTGGGTTTGAACCACCAATCTTCTGGTGAGCAGTCAAATGCCTTAGGCAATGCACCACCAGAGCATCATAGCAACATGAATACCTCCACTGACAGACAGGTGATGGCTGTGAGTGAGCTAACCGGCACATACAACAACAACAACCACCACTTCTTGGCATTGGGGTCACCATTGGGAATCGAACTTGGGTCTCCTGCATAGAAAGAGAAACTTCTATCACTGAGCCCTATTGTCTCCATTGGTACCTTATTAGTTATCCAGTAGTGAGTCAGACGGAGTCTCTGCTGGGTTGAAGCCTATGTTTCAGTGAAGGTGACAGACCTGTAAACTGAACTTCAACATGGTAAAGTAAGTGCCATGATTGAAGGGTACCAGAAGAGCCTGCAGAAGGAAAGCCTCCTGGAGGGGGTGACCCCAATGGTGACCCCAATACCAAGAAGTGGTTGTTGTTGTTATGTGCTGGTTAGCTAAATGAAAAGGTTCAAGGAAAGGTGTTACAGCAGAGAAACCACTTGGGAAAGGACTGGATGCCTGGATCAAACCACCTGAAGGTCGGAAGGGATTACAGGTGGGGACAGGAGGATTATAATTCCCCACACATGGAAGAGTGGAGAGACTCTGATTTTGCTGGACTAAGGTAACCAGAGGAACTCACCTTTATGGCTTACTACTGAATCATACCAATTACAAGGTGCTCTGGTGGCATAGTGGATAAGATATCTTAGCTGCTAAGCAAAAAAAAAAAAAAAAAGATATTTTAGCTGCTAAGCAGAAGATCAGCAGTTCAAACCCACCAGTTGCTCAGCAGAAGGAAGATGGGACAATCTACTTCCGTAAAGATTTACAGGCTCGGAAACCCAATGGGGGTCGCTGTGGGTCAGAATTGACTCGATGGCATGAAGTTTGGTTTGGTTTTTTTATGCCAATTCCATTTTGGATTTTGTCTACATGCTAGTGGGAAAGGGTAGAAGCTGTGACTAAGATAGTTGTTGGGTCAGGGGAAGGGCTATGTTCCAAGGGGTGTGATGAACCCTAGACTAACCTTGCCTGGGCATACTAAATGCCATGGAGTCATGTCTGGCAATGGGTTCAGGCCTTAGTTCTTGGAAGTTCATGACAGCAATGTGATTCCAAGTAGCTTGCTTGCACTGAGACCAGGGCTCTGCCCATCGGGGTCACATTCAGGCTAAGGCTTAGTACAAAGAAGAAAAGCAGGGT